TTGTGATTTCGGCAAAGCCTCCAAGTCTGTGGGAAACTATCCCGCCGGCACGCGTTAGCGGCAACCGTCGCCGGTGGCACTAGCCGCTTACTTTACATCCATGATGTAATTAGCCAGACTAGATATCTAGTCGACACAGGCGCCGAAGTCAGCGTCCTTCCTGCTACAGCAGCAGATCGACAGAAGGATCCTAACTTCAACCTACAGGCTGCAAATGGAAAACCAATTGCAACCTATGGTCGGAAATACGTCTATCTGAACGTAGGTTTACGCAAACCTATTCGGTGGATTTTTCTAATCGCTGACGTCACAATGCCCATCATTGGCACGGACCTACTCAATCATCATGATTTGCTCGTAGACGTCCGCCGTAAACGACTAATTGACAACACTACTAGTTTGTCTATCAAAGGCATAACTTACGTAGGCCCCAGCTTGTCAATCGTTAAGATGAAAGCAATCCTCGATCCAACTTTTCAACCGATTGTTGACAAATATCCGGAACTCAATTGCCCATCTAACGATCTCCCGTGTATAACCAGCAATGTTATGCACCACATCATAACCTCAGGACAGCCCGTGACATCTAAAGCACGACGACTGGCCCCTGATAAACTGAGAATTGCCAGAAACGAATTCGATCATATGCTCACCCTTGGCATCATTCGACCATCGAATAGTCCATGGGCATCCCCATTGCATATGGTACCGAAAAAGGATAGTAACGATTGGCGACCCACTGGTGATTACCGGCGAGTGAACGCCAAAACAACCCCTGATTGCTACCCTTTGCCTCACATACACGACTTGACGGCAACGTTATCTGGAGCATCTATATTCTCCAAAATCGACTTGGTTAAAGCATATAACCAAATCCCGATGGCAACGGAAGATATCCCGAAAACGGCTATCATTACGCCTTTCGGACTTTTCGAATTTCTACGTATGCCATTCGGCCTCCGGAATGCGGCCCAAACATTCCAACGCTTCATCAACGAAGTATTTCGCGGTCTCGACTTTGTATACGCATACTTAGACGACTGCCTCATTGCCAGTCCAGATAAGGAAACTCACCTTAGACACTTGGACTTGGCATTTGAAAGGTTACGCCAACATGGTGTTACCATCAATATACAGAAGTGTCAGATAGGCGTTGACTCACTCGATTTTCTGGGTCACACTATTGACTGTCAGGGCATTCGCCCACTGGCTACTTCGGTCGATCACTCTAAGAAAACGCGTTCTGGACGTCACGTTAGATTCCCAGAATACCTTCACACCTATTTCACATAACTGAGTGACACATCAATTGTTTTTTATGTTGCGTCATTTAACACAAGTAAATGATTTTTTCCTATAACCGTACATAAAATTATATAAGATGTATATTTTTTTCCCGATATTTTGAACTTTACATTATTTTACTGTATAGTAGATGCATGTCATTTTTTTTGGTAAAAAAAAGCTTATTTGGTACATTTTTCTTGACAAGGTTCTCAGCATTCTTGTTTTCTTTTCCAGGTGCAACGGGCACTGGACAGGAAACAAACGAAGCACGGGATCCAACGAACAACACCGAGGAAGCTATGTACAGACACCCTATTAGCATAGGCAGACAGACCAGCAGGCTCTCCATCAAGCCGCTCGGAAGATTTTTTTCACCCACCAGGGAACCATCGAGATTTTTTTACTTCCGGCTGGTCATGTCTTAGGGTCCTCACAAACCCACTAGGGGGGGAGTGAGCTGTAGCGGTAAATAATTCCCCAAAATTATTAACCACAGCAATCATCACTCAACATTGGATGCTGACCATCACTGTTTAAGTCGACTTGTTTAGCTGAAGGCTTACGTTCAAGCATCCCCGCCATTTGGTGCTTCGTCGTGTCACGTGCGTGCACGATTACTAGCTAGCTAAGCATTCACCTCTACCCGCGATTTTGTCCCGAAATATAATACGTACTTTGGACGACAAAATCTGGTCTTTTGCTTTACCATTTGGTACTCGAAGAACGAACACTATAGTGGTTGTTGGTATAAGATCTTGCGTTAGTATAATCCGTACAACTCGCGAACGTCGATATCCGCAGCCCCCTAAAACCAAAATTACGACAATCGAGTAACGCACAAAAGATCAGCAGCCTTTACGTTACTTACTTTACTTTACTTCGGCTATCTCCTACGAAAGGATGAGCTGGCTTCATGAACATCTCAAATCATCGCTGCCCAGGCATGGTGAGAGTCGTTTGTAAGAGAGTTTATGAAGTTTCATGGGAGTTTGGTACGAGTGATGTCCCCAGAATCGCTCGGCCTTTTGTTTGAGAGTGCAGCTCTAGCCTTTACACAACCAAGTGTGACCTACAAGGCAGTAGGAGTGGAGTAGGAGTCCACTATCCATTGGCACCCATTGACCGGAGTTCGGTTCATACGCCTTTTTGAATGGGGCCAGACATCCAGGACATCCAACAAGCCCTGTGTCCATACGTCTGCCGGTGAACTCCAGTGAGCTTCATACGCCAGTCGTTGGAGGTTTGGAATCAGGGTTTAGCCATCTCCCCTAGACTGTCATCCAATGGACAGTCAACCCGGTGGAGAGCGCCGGGCATCCGCTTTCGCCCTCTCACTTTGGTGAAAAACACCTCCGCCACGTGAAGGCAGTGAGTAGGACTTCCTCAGGAGAGGCTATGTAAGACGCCCGGTCATATGGGAGCATTTCAAGAGGTGTGCAGAGGGGTGGCCAACCCGCAGCGCAAGGCACCCACCCCCGACCATCCTGAGGCTTTGGAGGCCTTTACGTTACAATCAAGAAGCGCATAAGAGGAAATCCATTTGGTTTACACTAGCTCGTAAAAAACGGTGTTTAATATTGGAGTGTAAAGCACCAGTCACTACCATAATCTGTTCAATATCCAATATCGTTTTTACGAGCTATTATAAACCAATTTGATTTCTTTGTGCTCGCCTCTTGATTGTGAGGTAGAGGTTCCTGATCTTCGGTAAACGTCTGCGTAGCTCGTCCCGCCACTCGACTGCCGTACCTTTGGTTGACTCCAAAAGGAGTAGTGCAGGGATTAATTATATGTGGTTTGTAGTATGAGGTGTGTTAAGACTGTTACTACTGTGAATGGAGTTGATCCTTTCACCAGTTGGTCCTTCGGTATCGTCGTCAATAGAAAAGAGATAATAATAATAATAGAAATAATTAGTGAAGGTATTCAGACTAACAGACAGAAAAAGAATAAGAAAACGTAACAACAGTCAGTCAACCGGTATATATAATAATAATGATAATAATAATAATAGGTGTAGTTAAAGCTGTCAGGAAAGTAAGACTGAAGAGAATGTAAAGAAGTAAAACGACCAGTTTAATTGTCTACCTTTGAATGGTGTATGCGATTTTAAGGGGATAGGCCATTTGGATGCAGTCCTTGTGTCGCTGCATGGTTGTCCAGCCTTCGCTTAAAGGCGTCCACAGATGGTGCCATAGCTACATCTGCCGGTAAGGAATTTCAGGGACGGCAAACCCACAGAGAAAAGAAGTGGGAGGTGGACTTTCGCGATAGTAGCTACTACAATTTCGAAGACAGACAACGGGTCAATTCACCTTACTCTGAAATACTTGTATTTCTCCAAGTTGATTTCTGATATTGGAAAGTTGGACTGTGAGCAGACGTTTGGTGTTAGCCGCTACATTGGTGACTTTGTCATTTTCGTAATTAGTTAGTTTGTCATAACTTTTCTCGTAACATGCATGCATTTGGTGAAATTTCATTGGAAAATAACTTCTTGGTTTTTATCTCCTGTATTTTAACGCATATTTTGGCATGTTGAAGATAAATCTCTAATTTTGATAAGCGAAATACTACCAGTACTAGTAAGTAAATGTCTCACATCAGGCAGAAATGTATTAGGACAATTTTGCGTAATTATGAGTTATGCGGAAAGTCATCGCTGCTTCAGTATTAGTCCTAAATAGAAACAGTTTTAGTTGAATAAATAAATTCCAAAGATCTTGACTTTTTCTGTTGCATCTCCAAAATTTTCTTTACTTTCTTAAAGTTAGGTGTAAATTTACATTTACCTGCTCCTAAAATACTAAAATTTTTTGTTTCTGCGGTTTTCTGTTAATCTTAATAATTGCATCTTTGGAAATCTTACGTATTGTATATCTCTAGATATGTCCATAGAATGAACATTTTTTCGATTTCTGATGAGCACTTATGTCATGATTTCACTTAATAATATGAAAGTGTAGTTTTTTATACACAAATCCGTTACAAATCACATAGAAGGATGCAAATTGTAGAAGCTGGTTTCACGGGACAAACGCTAAATAAATTTCACTCTATAATACCTCGAATCTTCATTGGAAGTTCTTATTGACAACATCTGAGATATTTTCAACCATATGCATTCCAACATAGTCCTGAAGGCAGTCCGTATGGCACAAATTTGTTATCATACAGTTTATATGTCTATGATCAGTCTGTCCTAACTTCTACAGTATATCAAACGGAAAATGTCATATGACTCATTTAAGTTCCTGTGTGTACTTTAAAAACATTTGCATCAAATCACTTTAAGATTATCCTTCACTATTCGAATGGTAACAGTGCAAGCGAGATTTTCTGGCGAACGTACTAACTGACGGTTTTTGAGAAGTGTTTAAAGCCTTCAATGTTGTTCTATGGATTGATGCAATGGGGATAGGTTCACTTTGTTCAGTGAGTAGTAATAATAGGAAGCTCCCCGTAGTAGTATTAGTATTGAATTCTCCGGAAAAAAAATTAAAAATAGCTCAGAGAATAGGTCTTCGAAAATTTTTCAGATTTAAGATTTATCGGTTGAGGAAGGCTTGGAGCCTATGTTAATCCTTTTCTAGTAAATTTCTGTGGTTTTGCTTCATAAATCAGTTAACTAGTTCATTGGTTGTTGCTACTATTTTGCAGATTTAACTTTGTGAAAATTTTTCCTCGAGAAACCGTTTCCACCTTGACCATAAATGAAGCTAAGTAGCTTTCCGCCATCATCAGGCATTGCTGTTCAGGTAAGGTTTTAGACACTTCCTATGTTATTGTAATGTTTAAATGCATTTGAGAAATTTTTTATAACTAAATGTAAGCTTTATTAAGAAGCATTACATATCAAATTATTTTGATTGGTTGTGAAGCATTTAGGAATATACTAAGTTAAGGAATTCTACAGCCACGACTGGCACTCACTTAGAAAGCATGTAAATATTTTGCAGCCCATAAATAGCCCTAAATATCTTCTTTTCTCACACATTGTCTTTCTAACTTTGTAGTTTACCGGAAACGTTCTCTTCGTAATTCCATCAATTTATATTTGCTAGGTTAATTCACTTATCTTAAGCATGATCAACAAGATTGTTTTCACAATAACCACGGCTACAAAACCTCAGCAGTTTTCCTTCAATAATGACTTATCAGCTCAGCTTAATTCCTTTTATTTGCGAATATTATATTTCAAATCCAACATACTACTCAATGTTTAGACTGGGGAGCACAATTATTTCCCCCCAAAACACTTCTGCTTGCTACTCCTAGCCATTTTAAGGGGGGAAATTAGTTCGCCAAATGCTAGATTATTCAGCACTTCCGTATTACCTCACTGAATGAAGTGAATGCCATACATTTTTAATTTACTTGAACATGTTATTCAAGATTATGTGGTCTCACACCTCTGTTTACTGTCTATATTAAGCAGTTCTACTTTCTCTTGCTTTGTGTGCTACATGGAGTGTGGCGACTTGAACTGCCGCACATATGTGCAAAGTTCTATGTCGAAAACCGACCGACCGGTCTTGATAACCCTTATAAAATTCATAACAACTTCTTTTTGTAGGCAAGCAGTCAATAAGAGGCTTGTATCCTATGTGCAAGTTTTTTAAGATCGAATATTGTGGCTTGATATTTGAAATAGTCTTTTATCAAAATGTAAGCCGCTACTATATATTTGGCTGGGAAGGTAATGTCGTCAAAAGTTTACTCTTTTGTTAGTGTTAATAATAGTTGTGTTAATTCAAAATATAAGTGTAACATATGGAACTAGTTTGTCAATGGCTTATGTTTTGTGTTGTTTTGTTGTTGCTGGTCAAGTATTAAGGTCTCTTCACTAGCCCCCTATTTCTAACCATCCCTTCATTACCTTTTTCTCCAATACTAATGAGCTTCCCACAGATACACCAAAATCCCAGACTTCCTAGAAGACTCAAGGTATAAATGTGTGAAGAAGTATAAAGTTTCCACTCAAATTTAGGAGGAGTGCATTAACTCAGTCTTACAATAATGGGATATATTGTATGACATACATATATACGATCATTGACAGAGGTCAGGATTGAAAAGAAAACAGTTGATAAACTGTCAAGACTGTTTGCTCTTTAAACTTAATTCAAAATTTCTCACCCTTATTTTCTTTCACATGTACAATCTCATCTTATAGGTCCCCTGTTCCATTGCTTAGTTTTCTGCCTTGTTATTTGATTTTTTTCACTAGTTTTTTCATAGGTAACATGTGTTGAGGTGCACTGAAGTTTAAGTACTGCCTCGGATGGATGTCATCAGAAATCCCATCTTATTTCCTTATTTTTGTAATACGTTGGTACTAATTCTGCTGATGTATTTCTTCTGTTTCATGCATTTTTTTTGGTGGACATTCAGCCGAATGTTCGGTGCTTAGCTGGTTTGTATGGATCTCTCAAAGATTCTAGTATGGAAGACCTCAATCGCTTACTGGAGGAAGATCAAGATGAACAAGAGATTTTACGATATGCGATAAATCATGAAGAATCCGATGAAGTTCGATTTCTGGTTGGTTCACAGTCTTTGAAACCACAAGGTAGTCAGGCAAGTTTTTCTTTAATGAAGAATTTTGTAGCTGAAAACTATATCTGTCCAGTGCTTTTACTTTTTACTGTCAATTTGCTGATTACAGTGTGACTTGTCGTTATTTCACAGCTAACATGTGTAGCTATAACTCATTCGTCTAGTTCCTCAACTACCATTCATTAGGTCAGGTTCGGATTTAACTTAATTCCATTTAGTTACCTGGAGTAAGTTTTGAAAATGTACAAATAAGTTTTAATTTATTGAACGTATAACCTAAGCTAATTGTATTCACACCTTTATAACAACAAAAAGTAGTGAACAAAGGGAATACATTTTTCGAATGAACCAAATCAAAACAAAGATAAACATTCGATAACTCAGTATACCAAACTGTCATCATAAATGCAATCAGTCTATCACTCATTATACGGATCTTAGTTAAGAAGATTATTTTAAAAGGTTTTGTAATGAAAATCACTCGCTCATAATCTTTATTTTACTGAAATCGACTTGGTCTATCACCTAAGTTCAATAAAGAATCTCTCTCTGTTTTGTTTGAATGGAGAGTCATTAATTAATTCTAAACAATTCCGTCATTTGAATAACTTTTCATCGAAGCATACCACTGCTTACTTATCAGGAAACACTGTCGTATATAAACTATAGATTGAGTCGCTCAACTTATGCTAAATGACCAACTTTTGACTTAGGACCTTGCATACAAGCTCACCAGTTCCATCCACCACATTCCACCTACCGCAAAAAGACAAAAGAGAAAAACAAATAAGAAAGACAGATAATAAGCAGAGATGTGAGGGAGAATGATTGATAACATGGAAAAGCAATAGGGTTTAATAGATATGGGAAATAAGGAAAAGTGAGTGCAACTCTTCCACTGAGAATAATTTCCAGCCTTGTCACCAACTGTCTGCAGCCTTTGGTTCTTACCACCCCGATGACCCCAACTGTTCAGTCTATGCCTCCGTACGTGGCTGGCTGAAACTAACTGTCAGAGATTTCATGGACTGACTCCATGTTTTGCTTTGACTACCACTAGCTTTTCTCCGACAATCTTCGAATATTTGGCATGCGATTCGATCTTGTCAAATGTAAGATGATGCTACAGGACTGCAATACATCAACTCCTACTTTAAAGATAAAGAGTGAAGTGCTTGAGTGTGCTGACAATTTCATTTATTTGGGAAGTCACATCAGCCTCAGCGGGTTGGTCGCTGATCAAATCTCAACACCGATACAAAAAGCTCGTGTGGGATTCGATAACCTATGCCATCTCTGGAGTAGATGTGATATCCGGTTGGCTATCGACCAAAGGATGTGTGTACTGCCTACCAGTTCGCCTTGTCCTGCTTTGTGGTTGTGAGACATGACCATTGAAAGTGGAAGACATGAAAAGGCTGGCTAGCTGTCTTTGATCATAGATGTCTGACTTCTGTCTCTCGTGTTAGGTGGCAATACTGAGGTTAGGCGTCAAGCGCTAGATAAGGAAGGAAAGTCAATCGACGAGGTTGTGAAGTTACGTCGATTGAGATGGTTAGGACATGTGTTACTCATGCCTACTTATTTATGTGGTTGTTGAATAACACAAATGAAGCCTATATATCTTCATACAACTATATTAGCATTGACTGTCAGAGTTTTAACGTGATCAGCTGGTCGTATAAACACTTCTCTGCAGAAGGTTGAATCCTACAAACATATCAAAAATCGTAATTTAACAGTAAATTTTTACATGCATTGAGTGATTAGTCTTCAAATGTTGCCTTCCTATTTTTCTCTTATGATATTACGTTTTCTATTTTGCATACATTCTTTTTTCTTTAGATAACTTTAGTAACACTTGTGGAGTCGTTAGATATTGACTTGAAAAAACAAATTTTCTCACATCCAGATGGGGAAATTATTTCACTGGTTACACTGGCGTCTAAACCTGACTGGTTTATATCACTGTTTGCGTCGTGTAAGTTACGCAAGTATTTACAATCCTAAATATTTTTTCTTACTTGGTGCAAGTGTTCACTGTGAACAAATAAAATTTATCTGAATAAATGTCTGTTTATTGAAAATTTATTAAATAACAGATATTATTAATCCCAGCAGTGATGTGATTGTCTAAACCAGAATCGGAAAGGCAAGATAGACCTTCATCACTCTGAAATCAATTTGGAAATCTGCTGCACTCAGCATCAAAACCAACATTCGGATATTCAACACCAATGTTAAGTCAGTTCTTCTTTAAGGGTCAGAAACCTGCCGCGTCATGAAAAGAATTCCGAAAAGGTCACTGCATACTTTTGTCAACAGCTGCCTTCACCGGTTCCGTATTGAAGATGAAATAGGCAGGAAGAATCAGCTACAGTGAACTCTGGGAACAAGCCAATCAAGAACCCATTGCTCAACAAACATGGCGGAGAAAATGGAGATGGATTGAACACACACACACACAGAAGACGACTGTTGATTGGAATCGTACATCAGGCCATCGGTCAATTGGAATCCGAGTGTGAAACGACGAGTTGGGCGTGGATCTAAGGGTGACATGGAGAAGACCGTATGCGAAGGAAATGAAAGCTTATGGTCAGTCAATCTTGGGGCCATTTAAGGAGAACTTCAGAGAATGGGTCAAAATGCAGATATTCTATTAAAGTCTCATGTTCCACCCAGAACCCAGGGGAGTAATAATATTTAATTGCAGAAGATGTGGCTGTCGTAGCCCAGTAGCCTAGTGGATTACAATTTGATGTTTGAAATGACAGATATAAGGGTAGAATTTCTGAGGAATTACCATCAGTCACAGCGATGTAGGTACATTTAAACGGCAAGTAAAAAATAAGACAAAATGGTTGTCCTAAGTTCCACGACTAGTCATCACTATCGTTATGCATAAACACTTTAATTTTCCTGAGGAACACACTTCATTTGAACTAATCAGTCTTACATTTTTATAGCCTGCTTACCACTGTCTTCATAACCATACCTTGAATTTATACAAGTAGAAACAACTGATTATTAAGTTTTATGCAACAGTCTGTTAGGGTTAATAATTATTGAGCTTAATTTTCATTCACTGCGTCACAGGTGGTTCAAACTCACAACACTTATAAAGGCATGGTTCTAAATCCTTTTACAATACGTACAGTTTATTACTTTCTTCGTGTGCTTTCGGAAGTGTGTGGGCGGTTGTTATTTCGCGGCTGCCTACACCGTGGAAGTTGATTTTCTCTTGGGGTACCTGAGACCGAAATATAATTAGTGTTGCATAGTCGCAGAGCCCAGGGGACAACTGCTTAAGGCCAATCATACATGGCCCGTTTGAACCGGGTTTTAGAATTGTTTTCGTAATATTAACTTACTTCTGGCTACGGACCACCGCAAGGTAAATCGGAATGTATAGTTTTCGGGGTTGGTTTTTGGAGAGGCAGCATAGCTGGCACGCTGATCATCTGAAGGAAACACCTTGCTGCTGTTACTTCCGTTTCCACCAGCAGTACGACTTTGCCCACAGACCCGCCAGCATAGTGTAAACACCTTACCATTTGCCAGTAACTGGTTTTATTCTAATGGCTATCCTAACAACCTTTCTGGCATGACAGGACCAGCAGGAAAATTAGTTCCAGTCAATGTAACTTGTTGGGCCATTGTGGTATGCAAGCCCGACCACGACGTCAAGGTCACAGTTATCGGTCGGGAGTTAATCGTTTGATGGATAAATATGTGAAAACCAGTTTTGACTATGGCTAAACACTTTTTGTTGTTGTTATAAATTACACTGTAATGAAAAAGGTGACAAATATTTTCTTTTATAAAGTGAAGAATATTGTAAATACAACGAAAAATTTCCATTCCTGTTGCTGTATTTCCTATCGTATTTGTAACAGTGTTAACATTGCAGTTGATTAGTACGGAACACACAATTGTTAATATTATTTGTTTCTAAGTCAGTTTTGATTTTCCCGTTAGTTAAAAGAGATCTGACCCAAAAACTTTTACGCTCGACTTCTTTGCAACGGCGTCTTCCGTGCAGGTACAGTCCTAGAATCCCCACTTCCAACCCGCTCCAAACAGTCGTCCCTTGGGCTCTCACGCAAAATTAACCATTTTCCCTTTACTCTTACTTCAAGAAGAAATTAAATCTCACCCTAGTGTCTAAGTTCTACTCTTATTTCAAGGGTAAATGTTTATTAAGTAAAAATAAGAACAAAAGATTATCCAAAGTGACATGTATGAACCAGCTTATTCAAAAATGAACCCATTTACACCCCTATGGTCACTGCTTGGCAACACTTCTTCATATCAATGGTAACGAATGTTTCTGGCCTATTTCTTAGTTGTATGTACTTGGATCGGTGGTTTAGTGGTAAAACACTGGCCAACCACGCAATCGGTCTGAGGTTCAGTCCCCTGCTAACGCACTCCTTTACCTCGCTTAGCCGCTAGTAAGCCTGGTAAAGAGGAAACGTTGGACATGAGGCTAGCAACCCTACCCTTTAAAAACACAACGTCATTACTACAGAGAATTCAAAGCTCTAGCATGAAGCCCTATGTTCTACTGAAGACGTGTATATTGTATATTAGTGGAACTCGGTCATTCGGTATGCGTAAATACAAATAAACTACGTTATGACCTCTATTCTTGATTAGGATGTTTAGTTATAAAATAACTAATGAATTTTGCATCTTCACTTGTATTCTTGACCATTATCCCTTCACAAACACCTCAAAGGAATAGACCGGTATAACTTTCAAACAAAATGTCCGTTAATCAATCCACTTTTGTTTCTAATTTGACTAACTGACTGACTAGTTCCAACGTTAATTTCACATCACTTGTATGCATTCTTCAAAAATATTTTCTCCCTGACTTGGAGAAATTTTTCTGGATTTCTGTTTATTTAGATTCTAGTGAACGACCAGAGTTGCGTACAGGTGCTCGAATATGGAGAATTCCCAGTTCCAATGAAAGTTCATTAGATGATGAAGAAAATGAGTCAAATTCACCTAAATCACTATTAGATCATAATTCATCAACACTGAACAGTAGTACATTAGAGTATGTGACTACATTACCATTAGATAAATTTTGTGGTATTAAAAGGTATGTACTACTGGTGTTTGTACTTTTGTTTCAATTTCTCAGTATGCATGTATGCCTATCTGTGTATGTACAATTTCAAATAACGTTTGTTCTTAGCGATTATAAAGCTCATCCTAGCAGCTACACCTGACTGACTGGTTTCAACATAAAACTTTGCACACAAGTGCACCAGGTCAACCTAACACCCTCCATAAGGCATACAAAGGAAGACAGAAGAGAGAAAAGATTCAGAAGGACGATAGTAAATAGAAATGTGAGGGAGGAAAAATAGTAACAGAGAAAAACAGTAGGGTTTTATGGGATTTGGAAGATCACAAAGAGTGAATACCTCGCTGCCACTGAAAATCATTTTGAGCTATATCACCAGTTTTCTCCAGCCATTACTTTTCACAATCTCAAGGATCCCAACCACCCAAACTTACTGTTAGAGATTTTATCGATTGGTTCGAAGTTTTGGTTTGACCACCACTAACTCTTTTCCAACCTGATCCTATGTCAGCTAACATAACACAGAGGGAGGTGATAGCCAGGAATGCATAGCACACGTCCTTTCCCTCCTTACCTAACACTCAACGCCTAACTTTGCCCATTATGCTACCCAACACGAGAGACAGAAGTCAGACATCTATGATCAAAGACAGCTAGCCAGCCTTTTCATGTCTTCCACTTTCAATGGTCATGTCTCACAACCACAAAGCAGGACAAGGCGAACTGGTAGGCAGTACACACATCCTTTGGTCGATAGCCAACCGGATATCACATCTACTCCAGAGATGGCCTAGGTTATCGAATCCCACACGAGCTTTTTGTATCGGTGTTGAGATTTGATCAGCGACCAACCCGCTGAGGCTGATGTGACTTCCCAAATAAATGAAATTGTCAGCACACTCAAGCACTTCACTCTTTATCTTTAAAGTAGGAGTTGATGTATTGCAGTCCTGTAGCATCATCTTACATTTGACATGAATCTCTTAACAAACATTTGAAGACAGCTACTCAAGGTTTTGAGAAGACTGCGTTTTGTCAGCGTCTTCACGTAGGAAGACTGCGTCATCTGCATAGTCTAAGTTAACAAGATTATTCCTTGGTAACAAGTCAATTCCTAATTCACCTAAGTCAGTTTCAATTCCATAAGTACATCTATTATAAAATTAAACGGAAATGGGGACAATGGTTATCCCTGACGGACACCACTGGTTTTCACCACTCTCTCCATAAGATGTTACCTGGCTGCGAGAGTTCAAGTAGAGTGCCGTGGTTGGTGAGATGTACTTTCTGGGAACCCCCCTGACGGCCAAACATTGCCATAGTACTTCTCGGTTGACGGAGTGTAATTCCGTCTTTCAGGTCAAGAAATATGGCAACTGTTGGACGCCGGTAAATGTGCCTATGTTTCAGAATATGTCGAAGGGTGAAGATATGATCAATACATCCTCTTCCTGGTCCAAAGCCTGCCTGATTTTCTCACGTTTATTTCTCTCGAGCACCACTTTGTCTACGTATGATTATTGAGCCTAAGACGTCAGATGCTATATTGGCAGCTACACCGGTTATCATCCGTCATAGAAAATATTGTCAGTGGTGAGACTATATAAACTGGTAATGACGTAATAGATGATGATTTGGGATTAAATGAATATCTGGGTTGATGCAGGGCTCTGCCTAGTTACCTGCAATCAAGTATTACGGTCTTCTATTTGAACTATAACACGCAACTGTTAACCAGCTTATCGTTTTATTTAGCTATATGTCCGGTGCATGCAACAGATATTTTGTTTTGAAATATTAAGTTTGATAAACATAATTACTAGGACGGCCCTTTAAACTCACACTAAATAAGAATGACTTTAATGAAAGTAATGGCTTTATTCCAAACAGTAGTTTTAATATAATGTGGAGGGAGTTGTGTGTAGAGAAGTTGCTCAGAGTTCAACAGTATGATACTCTCTAATTCCTTTCATGACAAGTGCCTATCTATCTACAACAGTTTTAACAAGTTGGCTTAGCGATACCATACTTGCCCTAACGACAGCTTTTAGTGCCCTTCGCAGTGTAACAGGGTCTTTTGTGAGAAGCCTAGGAAAGGTTAAGGAGGAGCAACAAAGGAAAATAGGTAGAATACAAGGGTGAATAAACTGTGAAAATAGAAACTGAGTGATACCAAGGTTGTCTTGACTTCCTTACGTAGAACGTTAAACGAAATATCTTTCCAAAAACTAACTCTCAGAGTTGAAATAGTCTATTAGGGATTGTTTGTCCTACTTCAAGCACTTTCCTTTCATAAGTATATAACTGCATACGTGTTTGTGTGTGAGTAGTGTTCCTTGGCTATGTAAATATATAAGTACATGAAATGAATTTAAATTTGTTATCCAACAATTGTGAACAAAATTCCTTAGTGTATTTTGAGTCACAACAAATAAACACTATACGACACCAATTAATGCTTTATCACAGAGATTGTCATAAGATTAGTGCATACTTTCATTGATAAAGTTTTAGGTGATCATCACTGTCCAATATATTTCCTTTTATATTATTTCATTGTTAGTTTTATCTACGAAATAGTCCAAATGGATTTTAGTCGCATAGGTGTATAAACCTTAGCTACCGAGGATAGGTAAACTTCATGCTCTCATGTCACCACAAATTTATAGTCTCTCCAAGATAAGTCCTGTTCACAGCCTACACGCAGTAGGGGCGTTTCTCATAAAAATGAAAGGGTGAATTCGAACGTCTCAGGCGCTAACAACCAAACAGGTGGAGATCTTGGCCTACTACTTAATGGAGCTGGAAAACTCTCAAAACTTATGGTGTACATGAACTCCAAGATCCGAAAGGATCGAATGGTGTATGAACATGTTGTGATCACCGACAACTATAAGAACTTAGCTCCACTATCTTGTGTATCAGACATCAAGTCAAAGGTTTAGTTTGGATGGGGTTCCTTAAGACAACCACGTGCTTTGGTCTGGGTGTTAGGGCAGTACCCCAGCCCGCAGGCAAACTATGAGATTCTGGATGGTGCATCTCTTTTTGCCAGTAGTGTATCAGGCTTGTGTTTCAATAATAATAATAATAATAGCAAAAAGTTAGCCGTGGTATTTGTCTTTACCTTTTTCTTAGAAACAAACTAACTGAACAAATTGTATCAATTAAAAATTAAATGTTGTATAATAAGTTGATATTCTATTGCTTGTACACTTTTAGCGTTGATGTATAGTGTGGTTCATGGTCATAAATATGCGTTTTAAAGCATTTATCAATTGGTTATCGCCTTAGTTTGATGTGTATATTGGATAAAATAGTTGTTGTTGCCCAGTGGATATAGCTTCTTTTCTACTCTGTTCATTTGTGTGTTTAACACTCACAGTCTGAAAAGATAATTCAGTAAAGAAGGTTCTACATGACAATAATAATAACAATAATTCAGTTAACTCGAAAAAAGATTCTACAAGCAACCATTCAGTTCATCAGTTGCTATGGCTAGGATACATTACTCATTACTCATTTTACTCGCCTTCCTGGACAAACAATGTTAGCTGATATAGGATCAGGTTGGAAAACAGATAGTGTTGGTAAAACCAAAACTTGCAAAATCAGTACATTGAATCTTTCACAGTTATTTTGAGTCAGGAGGTGTACGCTTCCTGGCTGAAGACAACTAGAGATATGGTTCAACGTTATTCTAAATGACTTAGATGCATTCACCTTTTGTGACCTCCTACTCTCATCAAACCATTATACTCCCTTACATTTTTGTTTATAATCGTTCTTTCGAATCTCCTTTTTCTTCTCTCTCTCATTTGTCTTCCTTTGTGTGGTAAATGTAGTGTAACGAGTGGAACCGGTGCAATTCTGTACAATGTTCTCTGTTGAAACGACTCAGTCGACCAGTCATTATAATTCTGTTTGCCGTGGTAAAATATCTTTACTATGTTAAGACTATTTCGATATTACTGAATTTATGGTTTACTAGTTCGTATATATATATATATATATATATATATATATCTTGTCACTGAGCTGCATTTTATTTAAAATTAATCACTGACATTACTTAAAGCGATATTTTGGTTTACTTTTGGAAGATTATTTTTCTTCTTTTTCATGTCATTTCTTTTTATGAATATCACATAGTATTTGTTTTCAGTGAATTTTGATTTTTTTGTTGATCGATTGGATTGGATTAAAATGTTCGGCCACTATTGACATTTCGGCTTCTGGAGTAAAAACGCTTCGACGATGTCTGACGATTAACATGTAGTAATCTGATGGATAGCGACTAGCAGTGAAATGCATTTTTAAGTTGGATGTACCTGCGATCCCCGGTGATTGATGGTGTTCCCCTCCCACTGCGACTTGAACCCAGTACTCCTCTTCGTTTCAAACGCCAAAGTGTTATCCACTAAACCATTTGACCCACTGGATTCCACTGCTAGTTACCACCCATCAAACTATTGCATAGTAAAATTATTTTCGTTAATTTGTTTTATCGAATAATTATTCACTAAATTTGTCAAACATTGTCTTCATCAGGTTTGTGATTCATTAGAATAGGTTATAGAGAGGATAAGAGTAAATGTTCAACATACTGATGAGTTCTTACAATTATAAAATATAGTATTTATTGTTGCAATAATAGCCAGGTATGCAGTGAATACATTTTTACGTAGAATAACAGACCGGTAGTTACAGGGTGAAATCTCACTCCAGACAGTCCCTCGAGTGGACTCTGAATGGGAAACCACAAATTGGGCATGTGTCTGAGGGTAAAATGGATGAGATCGTTTAAGCAGAAGTTGAGTGGCTATGGGCGATCGTGGGACCAGCTAAGGTGAACTGCACAGAAGAGGGAATAATAATATATAATGTAGTAATATAAAAATGAGCACAAAAAAGCGTAAGTTCATCACTACTTGTTTCTTGATGTGCTCCATTGAATGACTAGTTATCATATTGTTCCCATAGGCAAAATGACTGCAACCTTATAATTTTACCATGAACCAAATTTATGTAATTTAAATAATACTTATCCATGCCTGTACAATTGGTGTGTCCTGTACAGGTAGGAAAAATTGTATTTTATTAAATTACTATTATTAAATATGTTTACTAATCGTATATGTAATTTATCATATTGATGATGCCTGTAAACTGGCGTCCCTCATGTAAAAAATGAGAATATACTATTATTTATTTATTTGACTTTTAGCATCTAACTTGTATGTATCTAAGTATAAAATATTTTATTGTCACATTCACTTCACCATAGGATTACTTCTCATCCATCTACGACATGTTTAGATTTGGCGTGTATTGTTGGACCACCTACAGAATTACCTGGGTAAGAAAATGTCTAAATTACTTTTCACATTATATTTAATATTTATTTAATGGCATTCACTATTTGTGGTATGTCATATCCAATAAAACTCTATTGTTCTTCCATATAACTATTCTTTTTCCTTCACACTTCTGTTTACTATCTCTCTCTTTTGAATCTGTCTTTAATCTCTTCCCTTGCTTTGTGTTCTACAAGGAGAGAATGTGACAACTAGAACTGCTGCACATCTGTGCAAAGTTCTATGTTGAAACCGATCAGTCAGGTGGACTTCTAGTCATACTACTCATTAGACCTTCGTTCCACCCAGAAACGTTAGAGCAGTCAAGTTATATTTTATTAAGTCATTACTTCAAAGGTGTGTGGCCCTTTACGAAGTATGTAAGTATATGCATGGCTATGAATCAACTCTAGTTTGGAACTCTTCAATGGTCCCCACTCATGATCTGTTTTCATTTGCGATATCTTGAAGTTGTAGAGTAGATTTAAGCGGATTACAATGTTACAAATATGTTACTCAATAGGTAGCTGGTCGTCTCACTTGCTAGAAAGAGTCATCAAGCGGTTCTTTCTCTTTTGATGGACTATATATATATATATGCATATATAATTCACATAATGGAGAAAGCGTTAATCGTGTAGAAACTGAAATAAAATTAAATAAGAAAATTGCGTGATGGGAATGGGCAGAATTCAATTACAGTTGAAAAAGTCAAAATCAGTGTCATATGAAGTAGGAGTGTCATAGTCGACAGGTAGGTGGGTGGGTGTTGGGGATGAAATAAAATACAATGAAAAAACTAAAATTAAGACTAATCAGGTCCATTGTAGGTTTAGTGACTGAACAAACTGCTTCTGTATGCAGCGTTCAGAATTTAACATGTGAATCATCATTGCTTTTGCTCTTTGGAGAAGTTTGATTTGTACTCGCATGAATGATTCTGAAGTTGGTTTGCTCAGTGTTCAGATTCGATCACGTGTCCCAAAATTAGAGCTACGGGGGGGGGGTGCCTTGCGCTGCGGGTTGGCCACCCCTCCGCACACCTCTTCAAATGCTCCCATATGACCGGGCGTCTTACATAGCCTCTCCTGAGGAAGTCCTACTCACTGCCTTCACGTGGCGGAGGTGTTTTTCACCAAAGTGAGAGGGCGAAAGCGGATGCCCGGCGCTCTTCACCGGGTTGACTGTCCATTGGATGACAGTCTAGGGGAGATGGCTAAACCCTGATTCCAAACCTCCAACGACTGGTGTATGAAGCTCACTGGAGCTCACCGGCAGACGTATGGACAAAGGGCTTGTTGGATGTCCTGGATGTCTCGCCCCATTCAAAAAGGCGTATGAACCGAACTCCGGTCAATGGGTGCCAATGGATAGTGGACTCCCTACTCCACTCCTACTGCCTTGTAGGTCACACTTGGTTGTGTAAAGGCTAGAGCTGCACTCTCAAACAAAAGGCCGAGTGATTCTGGGGACATCACTCGTACCAAATTCCCATGAAACTTCGTAAACTCTCTTCATCAGATCGCTGCGCCTGGGTAGCGATGATTTGAGAAGTTCATGAAACCGGCTCATCCTTCCGTAGGAGATAGCCGAAGCAAAGTAAAGTAAGTAAGAATGTTTTTTCCCCTTTATAAAACTATGACTTTAGGTTTCCGATGATATGCTTGGATAGCTAAGTGCAGCGGACATACCTGTGTCCACAGTAGCAGGTGAATTAATAAATATACGTTGGTGAAACCAGCAGTGGTAGCTTATCCTTCAGGTTTTGTAGAGAAAGTGAGTTGAAGTTGAGCTGTGTACAGGGTTTTCTTAAATGACTGAGAAAGGCAGTTTTCTAGTGTTTCTACTAACGAGTTTCAGATTCAGATAAAGAAACTTTCTGGGCTGCAGTTGGTAGAAAGTATGTCCCCTATGTATCTGTTAAAGTATTCCTTATATCAATGAAGATCGGTCAGTAAAGGTAATATCATTTTCATTATTATTCAGCTATTTTGATTTCTGTTTACCTTACACTTATTTCATGAAATTATCATACTCTTTATTTATAATTATCATTATCTTCTCTTCGATATCCGTTAGTTCAAATGCATATCCATCTCTTATAACAACATCAACAACTAGCTATTTAGTTATCCTTCAAGCACCTTCAGATTCAAATTCTGGTGATTATGAGATTAGTACAAGTAGTCAGTTATATTTACCGCCTTCATCTACAACTGATGGATTACGTTCAAATATGAAATTATCGTCTAGTTGTTTATCAGCTACTGTATCACCTAATGCTATACGATGGTCTCCACATGAACAGTTGAATCAAATTGCAATGGCCTTTGATAATGGTATACTTGGTTGGGATGTAAGAAGTATGAAGTAAGTCTATGTTTCAGGCGTTTATCAATTTTAGATTGAAATCACTTCTTATTTTCCACTTTGTCAATATTATAAATTCACATTTTTATACTTATAATTTTATTTGGATTATGGGATTTGTAGGTTTTTGGATTTTGGATTAATTTCAGTTGTTAGATGTTGTCACGAACCAACATCATTTAGAGAGGCCATTATTGGGAAACCAAGAAACACTGGACAACTGTTTCGACTCTTCGACAGTGCTCACCCATGACCTCACAGAGGATTGGACCCAGGACCTTCAGCTTACTAGGTGAGCTTGTATAACATTCAGCCACTGGGACGAAATTCAATGGTCCATAAAGTTTAACTTCTGTTAATTCGCAATATATAGCGATACCGCCGGCCATTGTCATCGACGAGTATTAGTAGTAACACTCGACTTGGTGGACTCCACTGGTCACGACGTCTCACTTAAATTCCGGACACCTTCGTCCTGTAGTCAGACACTAGTGAGAGTCAGATGCATTCGCAATTAGATAACTATTTTGTATTCAATATTAATTGTAAACATTCTGTATTTTGCAATCAGACCTTGTTTTTGGATGGAAAACGCCCATTGGCCATGTGTTCGTGATTTGGACTACAATCCTCATCGTCCAAATCTCTTACTATCTGGTGGAGATGATGGAATTCTACGAATTTGGGATCTACGATATCTACGCACAAGATATAGATGTTTATCTACTCCTGCTAATACTGGTAATATGATAAATACAACTATCCCGAATGCATCTGAACGAATTATGCAATTCGGTACAGAACCGACTGTTCAGCCGTTGTATGCACTTTCATCTCATTCTCATTGGGTTAGTTGCATTTTAGTTTGAAATGAAAAATATTTTTGATTTAATGTTTCCATAAGTTCGTATACTGTACTCGTATTTAAAATCCATTCGCATGTTCTTTTAAATGGAGATTATTATCTTCAACAACGCAAAATAGCTTGTTTTCTTAACTCGATTCACTTGGCCAATCTTCTTTGAATAATTTTTTAAAAGTTTTTGGATTATAGCTTGATTCTACACTTTACCTTTTGATATAAGTATGGAATTTTCAGCAAGTGATATCGGTAGCCTGAATTTAGCAGGCCTACCATTGATATCAGATGTGCGTTGGCAGGAGTTCGAGCCCCGGACCGGACCTTGTGCATGGTTGGCGAGAGTCCTAACCACTATGCCACCGACACACAGTTCGTATGTGACTAATTGATGTCATTTCATTATTATTCTGATGCCTTTTTTGTGGATTCAACGCCAGTTACTTCAAAAGCTTAAGTGACTGCTATAGTGATGTGTTATGGTGTAGGTACAAATGCACCAACTTATCTAACGTATATTAGATTACATTTTCACTGTTCAGCTATTAGAACCGACTTTCCTAAAGTTTATTTCTCATGTACCAAGCACTCTGAGCTATACTTATTGTGTCAGGTGTGATGATGCTAACTATTCTCCCAACCTGTGATAGGTGGAGCGGGATTCATAGTGCTCGTATGAAGTGATGACACCCAGTGGTGTCTATCAGGGATGTCCACTGTCCCCATTACTCTTTAACTTCATCATAGATGTACTAATGGAATTCACTCTAACCGACTTCAGATACTCAGGGATTGACTTGTTACCAGGGGACAATCTAGTCAACCTAGAGTAGTTGGATGATATCGTCCTCCCAAGTGAAAAAGCTGACAAAATTCAGAGTCTTCTTCTAAACACATTGAGGAGGAATCTTCGAATGAAATTCGCTCCTGTGAATGTGAGCAGATGCCTTCACTACTGTTCTGCACCGACTCCAACATTAAAGATAAAGAATGAAGAAGTTGTTAAATGTATTGACCACAACACTTATCTGTGAAGTTACATCAGGCCTAATGGACTGACGAATGACAAATCCTCTCGTGTTGTGTGTACCAACCTACTTCATCTCTGGCATTTACTTGATATACAGCTATCGATAAAACGATGTGTGTTTCGTGCAACATTTCTTTCTGTCCTTTCTTATGGCTCTGAGACGCAGACATTGAAAGCGAAAAATATGAAGAGCTTAGCTGTGACAACTAGCGGTGTCCGTCAGGGATGCCCACTATCCACATTTCTATTCAACTTAATCATAGATCTACTAATTGACTTAACTCTAACTGAATTCAGCGACTCAGAGATTGACTTGTTACCACCAGGGAATGATCTCGTTGACTTAGAATATGCAGATGATATAGTCCTTCTACGTGAAGAAGCTGACAAAATGCAGAGTCTTCTAAACACCTTGAGCTGCAATCTACGAATGTTCGGCATGCAATTCGCTCCAACCAAATGAAGGATGATGCTACAGGAGTGGACTACACTGACTCTTAGCTTAGAAATAGGAAGTGAAGTGGTAGAGCGTGTTGACCACTTCGCTTATTTGGGAAGTTACATCAGCCAGCACCAACAGGTTGATCGCCGACGAAATCTCAGCATGGATACAGAAGGCTAGTTTCGCATATGCCAGTTTACGCCGTCTCTGGCGTAGACGTGATATCCGGCTGGCTATCGACCAAAGGGTATGTGTACTACTCATCTGTCCACTCCAACCTCCTTTATGGCTGTGAGACCTCGCCATTGAGAGTGGAAGACGTGAAAAGGTTGGCTAGCTGTCTTTGATCATAGGTGCCTGCGTTCTATCTCCTTTGTTAGGTGGTAAAATAGGGTCAGTAATATTAAGGTTATGCATCGAGTGTTAGGCAAGAAGGGAAAGTCAGTCGATTAGGCTGTGAAGGTGAATCGATTGAGATGGCTAGAACATGTATCACGCATGCCTAGCCATCGCCTTCTTCGCCGGGCAATGTTGGCTGACATAGGGTCATGTTGGAAAAGAGCTAGTGGTGGTCAAACCAAAACATGGCTTCATCAGTCAATGAAATCCACAACTGTTCGTTTAAGCCATGTTGGAATGTGCAGAGTTCCTGGTTGAGGTCCTTGGGACAGTAAACAACATTGGTTGGAAACAATCGCTGATATGCCTCAAATCTTCCTCAATGGCGCAAATGTATTCACTTTGTGATTTGTAATATCCAATAAAACTATATTGTTCTTCGATATTCGTCCCCCTGTTTATTATGGCATTTTAATTCCTAATTGTAATTTCAGAATTGTCACTGGTGATTTCGATTCTTCGTCACACCTGATAAAGCATGTTAAAGAAGAAATGATTCAGTAACTTTGTGGTCATGTATTATTATCTCTACTACTATTAGTATGCCCCAATAAACGATGTGGTACTACTGAGGGTGGATAAACTTCGATCTTCCCCTTGAAATATTCTCATATAACCACGAGTTCATAACCTCTTTTAGATTAAGTTCTATCCACTATCTTCACGCAGCAGGAGTGTTCCTCATAAAAATGAAAGGGCGAATTCGAACATCTCTGGCGCTAACAACCAGACATGTGGTCATCTTGGCCTACCACCTAATGGAGCTGGAAAACTCTGATTCCAAACCTATGGTGTACATTATCCCTAGAAGTCGAAACCGTCGATTAGTGCTTAAACCTGTTTTGGACACCGGAAACCATGGGGACGTCACACCTGATGCTGCTCCACTGCCTTATTGATCGGACTTCATGTTAAAGGCTCGGAGGGGGAGTAGGTGTCCCCTTAACACAACCACCTACTTCTATCTCAATGCTCAGTTAATATCCCAGCCCTCGCAAAAACTATGAGATTTTGTGCAGCGCATCTGTAGGTGCACATAATGTACCAATTTTGTGTTTTAGTCATGATAATTACTATTAGTACATTGAGACTATTAATTTCCTACGTTTATTACTTTTAAAAAGCCTGTAATGTCCGAAAAAATATTGCTTGGAATAAAGTGATTATTATTATCTATGTCAGGGCTCTTAAAGTGAATCCTATTTTAAGTGTTATCCGAATGTATCATAGAAATTTTGTGAAAATAATAGTAATAATAATAACGCAACACATTGGAATTTTATGAATTATGTATTATACATATATATATTCCTATGACTAGTCCGTGTGTGATCAGATTGTTCGAAATGTGTTGTGCACAAATACATTACACGATTCAGACAAATTACGTCGTCTTATTGCTTTGTCTCCTTAATTAGCTCTCAGGATAGACGCCTTAAACGCTGGAAAGAACACTTTGAGGAACAATTTAACTTGCCTACAGTCACACTGAGCCTCCCCGCCATCCAGCACACACCCGAATGGGATATAGACACTGGCCCGCCGTCTGTAAGTGAGGTCACAAAAGCTATCCATAATCTGAAGCGAGAGAAAGCGGCAGGACCCGACGGAATTACTCCGGAGGTGTTTAAATATGGGGGTGACACACTAGTATATAGTTTAACCAAGATACTAGGTAACGTCTGGGAATCAGAGACGGTTCCATCAGACTGGGGTAAGTCACTTATTATACCGATATTCAAGAAGGGAGACAAGTCCTCATGTGATAATCATAGAGGAATCAGCCTGACGAACATAGTCTCTAAAATCCTAGGCCCAGTAATCATGCACAGACTGAGCCGAACTCGGGAGGAACAAACGAGGGAAAATCAAGCGGGCTTTAGGCCAGGTAGAGGGTGCATAGATCATATCTTCACTCTCTGACAGATCCTAGAGCATAGACACACTTTTCGGCGTCCAACAATTGCCATATTTCTTGACTTGAAGGCGACCTTCGACTCCGTGGATCGAGAGGTACTATGGCAATGTATGATTGTAAAAGGAGTGCCAAGAAAGTACATTGCACTAATCAAGGCACTCTACTCAAACTCACGTAGTTGTTTAAGGGCTTATGGGGAACTGTCATCTGAATTGATAACAACCAGTGGTGTCCGTCAAGGATGTCCACTTTCCCCTTTTCTGTTTAACTTCATCATAGATATGCTAATGGAAGTATCCTTAACTGAACTTAACGACTTAGGAATCGACTTGTTACCAGGGAATAGTCTTATGGACTTAGAATATGCAGATGACATAGTCCTGTTAGGGGAGGATTCTGACGAAATGCAGAGTCTTCTGAACACCTTGAGCAGCAATCTTCGTATGTTTGGCATGCGATTCGCTCCTGTAAAATGTAAGATGCTGCTACAGGACTGGACTACGTCAACTCCTAGCTTAGTGATAGGGAGTGAAGTGATAGAACATGTTGACCACTTCACCTATTTGGGAAGTTGTATCAGCACCAACGGACTGATTGGCGACGAAATCCCAGCACGGATTCAAAAAGCTTGAGCTGCTTTCGCTAACCTACGCCATCTCTGGCGTAGGCGTGACATCTGACTATCAACCAAGGGACGTGCGTACTGCTCATCAGTTCGCTCTGTCCTTCTCTATGGCTCGGGAACATGGCTAATACAAGTTGAAGACATGAAAAGGTTGACTGTTTTGATCATAGATGTCTACGATCTCTTTCTCACGTTAGGTGGTATAATAAGGTAAGTAATGTTGACGTTAGGCGTAGAGTGTTGAGCAAAGAGGGAAAATCAATTGAAGAGGCTATAAAGTTACACAGATTGAGATGGCTAGGTGACGTGCTGCGCATGCCTAACCATCGCCTCCCCCGACGGGCATTACTAGCTGGTATAGGTGCAGGTTGGAAAAGAGTAAGTGGTGGCCGAACAAAACCATGGCCTCATCAATCCATGAAATCCCTGACAGTTAAACTGAGTCAGGTAGGGAGATGCAGACTTCCGGGTTGGGGCCCTCGGGACTCTAGGAATCAATGGCTGGAGGCAGACAATAGGTGACATGGCTCAAAATCGTTGTCAATGGTTTACGCAGATGTATTCAGTCTCTGTAATCTTTCATATTCCTTTCTACGATTACTCATTCTGTTTCACTCTTATACTTGTCAAAACTCTATTGATTCTCTTCAGTCATTTTCTTGTCTACCTTTGTGTGCTCTTTGGAACGTGGCAACTTGAACTGCTGTTGCACTTCAGTGCCAAGTTCTATGTTGAATCCAACCAGCCAGCTTATTGCTTTGTCTAAATTCACAAAGAGAACTAATTCTTTTAAATAATAATAATATTATAATAATATGCATTTTCTGTTTCTCTTCAGATTTGGTCAGTACGTTATCATCCAACACGAGATCAACTTGTTCTATCATCAGGAAGTGATGGTCGTGTTTGTTTATACAATTTACCAAGTTATTCATCCGATGCTATGAATGAAGATATCATCAATGAAGTAAATCCACAATCAATTGTTGATCATTGTGAAACAACAGCAGCAACAACGACAACAAATGTTCAAAATGAAGTTGATAATCATTCAATTTGTTCTAATGAAGAGGAGAATGATGTGTAAGCTATTTTCTATTTGTATGATAGTTTTAGATTATGAATTATTTTCTTCGTAAGGATTTGGATTATTTCAATGTAAATTTCGTCACAAACCAACATTAGTTAGACAGACATCATTGAAAACCAGGGAGCAGTGGACAACAGTTGTGTCCTGGTCTGGGAAACACCCATGACCCCACCAGGACCTTCAGGTAACAAGGCTAATCTCGTTGACCATTCATACACTTGGGCCGGAATTCAAGGACTCGTGATATAGCGCACCCACTTCACCTTGACATGCTGGACCCCACTGACCACGACTTACTCCTTAGCATACCTTCAGAACATCTATCCAATAGCCATCAAAGAGCTGGGGATTGATATTTAGATTCGGCGATTTTGTGGGACACATCATTATAGAAAGAAAGTAGAGTGAAAGATTTGGTTACTACAGACCTCTAACCAAATATTCTTTGGACTACTTATTATTATTGCTGTTCCCTTGGGTTCCGAATGGAACATAGAGCTTCAGTTCAACATCTCCACTTTGGTCTATTCTCGGTGGTCCTCTTTAACTGGCCCCACAACTACCCATAGACTCTCATCTCCTCCCCACACAGACTCCTTCATGTTACCTTCAGACCCACACCCAACTCGTCGTTTCCCATCCGCGTTCCACTTGAGCAATGGCCTGGCGCCCCATATCACCCAACGGTGTCCTCAGCGGGTGCCCAGTCCATCTCCTTTTTGCTCGGAATATTTGTTGAGCAGTAGGTCATTGAGTGGTCTGTTCTCAGAATTTCTTGTTGCTAATCCTTTCTGGCCGACCATTTGATCTTGAGTATATAACTTGAGAAGGAAGCTGTTGATAAAAGTCTGCAGTGGCCTATTCGAAATACTTTTCGTGACTCGCGGGCCGAGTTTCTGACTCATAAAGAAGAACTGACTGACTTCAGATTGGTGTTGAAAATCCGAATCTTGTTGTTTATGCTAAGTGCAGAAGACTTACAAACTGACTTCAGAGTGATGAAGGTCAGCCTTGCAATTCCGATCATGGCTGTTTTCGACATCCTCTTGCGTGCTGTCGCCTGTAGTTGGAACGATGCTTCGTAGATAAGTGAAGGAGGTAACCTCTTTCAAACTTATTCCGTCGACAGTGATTTTTCCTTGTTGTTGTTGTTGTCTGTCGGTCTGTTATCTTCACCACCTCTGTCTTCTCTATGTTCACCTGGAGTCCTGTCTTCTCTGCCTGCTTCTTCAGCCGGCTTTTGCTTGTGTCACATTAGACACATATCATCTGCAAAATCCAGACCTTCTAGAGTCTTCTTATCGGTGGTCCAGCACGTTCCTATCTTCTCACTCCCAACGTACAGTCCAACGCATAATCCAGTCCACCACAACTAAGAATATCATCGTAGGTGATAATAGGCAGACAGCCTTATCTTACTCCTGTAAGCACTTCAAACGCTTCACTGTGTAACAGTACTTTGCACTTAGACGGTGCAAAGCACATACCGTGCTTACAGACACTAATCGCCAACTGATTAAGTGGGATTTGGGCAGCCTGCATGCTATCACACAGTAAGACGATATCGTCTGCATACTCGAGGTCGAAAAGTCTATCTCCAGGTAGCAGATCTACACCACCTTCACGCACATCCTTCAGGGCTGACTCCAGAATGTCATCGATGGTAAAGTTAAAGAGAAATGGAGAGATTAGGCAACCCTGTCTAACCCCACTGTTGGTTGGGAACAGTGATGATAGTTGGTTGTATGCCCTCACTCTACCTGAGGTGTTTCTGTATAGGGCTTTCAAGATGTTAACAAATTTCTCAGGTACACCTCTCTCTAACAGACAGTTCCAGAGCACAGTTCTGTCCAACGAATCGAAGGCAGCCCTAATATCAAGAAACACAACGATCGTTGGCCTGCAATACGTGTGGCGGTGTTCCAACAACTGACGAAGGGTGAACACATGATCAATGCATCCACGACCTGAACGAAACCCAGCCTGCTCTTCGCGAATCAATCCTTCACGTATTTTGCACAGCCTGCGAAGCAAGACAGAAGCCAATAATTTAGACGCGACTGGTAGCAGACTGATACCCCTATGATTGTCACACGAATTACGTCGACCCTTTTTAAAGATAGGGACGATGATGGCTTCGTTCCACATTGATGGTACACTCTCAGTTTCCCATACCTTCCTGAACAACCCAGTTAGAGCCATTGTGAGAGTCTCGCCACCATCTTTAAAAAGAGCCGGGGGTAAATTGTCTGGGCCGGGCGCCTTATGGCGTTTTAACACTTGGAGTTCCTTACGGACCTCCGCTTCGGTGGGTGGGTCGGTATTAACCGACCAAGGAGCACTGGGGCTAATGACAGCAGACATTGAAGCTGGTGGCCAGCTAAACTGTTTCCCGAAGTGCTCTGCCCAGCGTTCCAGGCGTCTTTTCAAACTGGTAATTGGCGTGCCATCTGCCTCACAGACCGTCTCGCTGACACCTTGTTTCTTGCTGCCGGTGGCTCGGATGAGTTGGAACAGCTTCCGACTGTTGCCAGATGCAGCAGCTGCCTCCATCTCACCCGCACGTTCTGACCACCAGGCCTCGCGGTCCTTACGTAAACACTTTCTTATCTTGCGCGTCAGCGCCTTTCGCTTATTGCTGTATTCGCTGCCAGCCGGAATGGACCGGCGTTCATCCAGGAGTTGCAAGGAACTCGCAGAAACCCAGTGGTTTTTGGCGGAGCATTCTTTCAAGCCGCAAGCGGCTACACTAGCTCTTTGCATGGCACCTTGCAGATGGAGCCAATGTTCATCTATACTACTTGGGGGGTTGCTGGCAAGCATTGATTGTAACTCATTCTGATATTTCAAACAAGTAGCAGGTGCTACTAGTTTGCTCACATCAACGTTTAGACGACGCCTTTTATGAACCCCACCAAATCGCAAGACGAACTTGGCACACACTAACGCATGATCGGAGTCCAGGCATGTGCTCCAGAAGGAGCGACAGTCTTGTATGCATCCTCGCCACCGGAAACTGACAGCAATGTGATCGATCTGAGTCCAAGCTTGGTTCGCAGAGGGAGGACGCCAGGTAGCGCTACGGCGATGGTTGTGCCGGAAGTTGGTGCTGGCCAGAAATAGGTTGTGATCCGCGCAAAGCTGCAGAAGACGGTCCCCATTATCTGACCTGCGACCATGTAGTCCCCATTGACCACCTAGACGATTCTCCTCTGAGCTCAGACGCCCGACCTGTGCATTCAAGTCCCCAGCCAGCACTACGATATCCCTTCGACCCGCCTGTCTCAAAAGATCGTTAAGTTGGTGGTAGAACTCGTCCTTCATTGCATCCGGGCTGCAATCCGTTGGTGCATAGGCAGAGACAACAAATAGACACCGCCTATCTGGCCTACTACTCCTTACTTTCGTATAACCTTCCAGCCTCACAGCACATAAACGACTGTTAATGGGAATCCAGTCGAGCAGTGCAGCTTCGGCTCTAGCTCTCAGTGCGACGCCGACACCAGCTACGCCGGATGCCGACGCCACAGGGTCCCTGGACAAGCGCAGGTGGTACATACTACTAGAACTTCCAGATGGAGAGGATAATCGAAGCACTTCACTGGGATCTTGAATGCGAGTCTCCGAAATGCAGCAGACATCGATAGCGAGGCTTTCCAACGTTCTTACCAACCCTGCCTGTTGTCCGATTTGCATCAGCGTCCGAACATTGTAGGTGGCCAGCTTGAACGCGGCACGCGGTTTCAGGATATCTGTGTTAGATGTCACATTGGGGACAGCCATTTTGAGGGTTACTCACTAACATCTCGAAACGACACGGATAGGCTAGGAATCCAAACAAAGGCGAAAGGCTGTCGAAGGTTAAGAAGTCAAGGTGAACAAAGGTAAAATACAGGAAACTAAGTATAAAAATAAAATTAAGGTTGGAAGGGCATAAGTTGCTTGATGTATCATTATTTCTTGGAATCATTTTTACGAGCACGCGGTGAGTTTCAGTAATAGTTTGTCGCTTCATTTCATATATTGTGTGAGGGCTGAGATACTGCCCGGGCGCCCAGACCGAAGCAGGTGGTTTTCTTAAGGGACCACCCCCCGAGCCTTTGACTTGGAGTCTAATCCGCAAGGCAGCGGAGCAGCGTCAGGTGCTGCGTTCCCATGGTTGCCGGTGACCCATATGGGTTCGTACGCCATTTGGTCCGATTGGATTCTGGAGCCCATGTACCCCATGGTAACTGCTTTTAGTCTAACCGCTATCCAAACAACCTTCCTGGCATGGTAGGACCTGCAGGGACATGAATACTCAATAATACCACGTGGTGTCTTCAGCTTAGCTGTGACCTGATCTGTATTGAAGGTATGCCTTGTAGTTCTGCCCTTCAGTTTCTGAATGTCGAACGTGAATTATAGTGGTCTGTCTCCAGTTGTTTTGTGGGATTTCAGCTTCACCTTGAAGGTTCCTTGATTTAGATGATGGTGTGATCCCACATCTGCTCCCCTTCTCGACTTTGTGTCTGACGCAGACTGACTGCGTCTCCACTTCTTTGAACAGCATTGAGATGAAATCTATCTGGTTTGTGTTGTGTATCCATCAGGCGAAATCCATGTCGCTAGCCTTGTGTATATCCTTATAATTGTACAGGCTGACTCCGATCACCAGATCATTGAACACTCAGAAGTCTGCGAATATTCTCCGTTCTCATTCCTTTCTCCGAGAGCCTCTTGACCCATGATGAGTTCTCTTCCGGTATTATATGCTCCCATTTTGACCGGTATTCATATCGCCCATGAGGATTTTGATGTCACTAGTTAGGATGTTGTCCATTACTGTTTGTATTTGTCTATAGAAATCTTCTGTCTTCTCTTGTTCCGCGTTGTTTGTAACACTGTGCGTAGCATTGAATAATTGTGACCTTCCTTCCTATTGAGTTGAATCCTAGTGTCATAATCCTGCGAGATGAAATTGGTTTCCACTAAATTAGGGCTCTGGCTGCCACTGGTGACATCATGATAGCCACTCACTGCCTCAATGTGCTCGTAATTGTCGTCTGGGTGACTAGACTGGAGTAGATTACTGAGTCTCCAGTTGACAACTTTGACAATCCACATCCATTCCATCTGCTCTCACAGATACCCAACACTTCTATGCCATATCTTCGCATTTCTTTGGTTACCTGGGCAGCCTTTTCAGCCAGCCTCGGAGATCGCACACACATTCCACGCACCCATTCTTATTTTTGCTTTCATCGAGAGAAGACACATTGGCTGACTGGCTTCGCGAAGGCTTTCACCAGCCCTCTTTGTCATTTCGCCTTTCTGATTCCAGCGAATGAATGCTTTGTATTTTTACTACATTTTTGTGCATTGAATTTTCTGTAGCAGTTTGATAGCTCTTGTGGTGTAGAGTTGCTGGCCCGACGCGCGATCCTCCCTCTTTAAAGAGGCTTGGGACCGGCTAGAAAACTAGCAAGCTAGTTAACTAGGCAAGGTTACTAGGTCTAGAATTCATCACCTTTCCAGGTTCGTTTGCAGGAATAAAAGAGTAAGAAAATTGCATAGCCATATCGGGGAACTAGACAAAAACAAGTAGTTTTGTGTAAAAAAAATATACATCAAATGATATAATTTAAGCGCTAAATTTGTGTTTTAATGACAAAACCTTTGAAATCAATCCCTTCTACAAACTTTCAATCGTAATAACAGGCGTTTCTTTGATAGTAATGAATTTTTCCAAGTTCTAATTAGCGATTGCGATCTGTTTGACAAGCAGGTTGGTTGTAAAAGCACTTACCCATAACTTTAGTCGACGGTATATCACAGATATACAGAGCTTAGAAATCATAAAGTATTGGATTATGATTGAATTATTCAATAAAAAGTGTTATGCTGACGTGACAACTTTATTGTGTGATGTCTGACTTAATTTCAACATAGAATGTTACATAGAAGTACACCAGTTCAATATGTCACACTACACATGACACAGAGCAGACGACATAGAGAAAAAATAAGTTCAAGAAATCTACAACAATCAGAAATGTGTGGAGAAAGATTAGTAAGACAAAAAAAACATGAGGATTTAATAGATACGGGAAATCACAAGGAGTGAATGCATCTGTGCCATTGAGAATGATTTTGAGCCATACCACCAATTGTCTCCAGTCATTAGATAGCTCAGCTCTTCATATTTTTCGCTTTCAATGTCTGCGTCTCAGAGCCATAAGAAAGGACAGAAAGAAATGTTGCACGAAACACACATCGTTTTATCGATAGCTGTATATCAAGTAAATGCCAGAGATGAAGTAGGTTGGTACACACAACACGAGAGGATTTGTCATTCGTCAGTCCATTAGGCCTGATGTAACTTCACAGATAAGTGTTGTGGTCAATACATTTAACAACTTCTTCATTCTTTATCTTTAATGTTGGAGTCGGTGCAGAACAGTAGTGAAGGCATCTGCTCACATTCACAGGAGCGAATTTCATTCGAAGATTCCTCCTCAATGTGTTTAGAAGAAGACTCTGAATTTTGTCAGCTTTTTCACTTGGGAGGACGATATCATCCAACTACTCTAGGTTGACTAGATTGTCCCCTGGTAACAAGTCAATCCCTGAGTATCTGAAGTCGGTTAGAGTGAATTCCATTAGTACATCTATGATGAAGTTAAAGAGAAATGGGGACAGTGGACATCCCTGATAGACACCACTGGGTGTCATCACTTCAGAGGACAACTCTCCGCAAGCTCTTTCACGGAAGTGTGAATTCGAGAAGAATTGTCGGAAATAACATAACACGAAATAATAATGATAGGTATGTGTTGTGTTATTTCCCTCGTGTGGTTTCAGGTGTGAATTATTGACGTGTCTCATAACGGAACTCTTAATTAATTAATGTAGTATTTAATGGCTGATAAAAGATATATATGTTTATATTTCTCATTGGTTTAGTTTGTTATATAATTACATTTTTTTCTTTGTACAGAAATAAAGATGGCTTAATCGCTCGACTAGAACAACATGAAGAAAGTGTCTACGCAGCTGAATGGAGTCCTGTAGATGCCTGGTATTTCGCATCGATTAGTTATGATGGCAATTTCTTATTAAATCGTGTACCAGAAACAATTAAATTGAATATTTTACTACAATCGAAAGATTATTAGGCCCCGGGATTACACTACTCATTTTCTCTTTGTCTGTATTAGTTAATCATTTTTTATATCTCACATATTTGTGTGTTTTATTTTTGTCTCTTCAAAAATATTTGCATTTTTATGCTTCTTCTTCTTCACGGTTTATTTATTTATTCATGTAGTTTTCTTGCGATAAATATTATTTTTCCCTTTTGTTGTTATACTCTGTATAGAATAATTTCAATGATGAATATGTATAAATTGTGATCTTACGGGTTCTTCAAATGTGTTGAATGTACACATCCCAATGAATTTTGTTTCAGTCAGCTTTTTTGTCTTTCACTAAATCTCATTCTATAATGGTTGTTTTATATTTCCTTTTTTTAAATAATATTTCTTAGTAATATTTTCTTATTGATAATTGAATATTCGTACTCACTTGACGCTGATGAAATACACAACTTTTGTTTGTTCATTTTATTGTTTTGAGTTGAAGGGTGACTATTCGACGGGGATTCGGGAAAGACCTCTTAAAATAGACTGACTGATTGACTGGTTTCAACAGAGAATTTCGCACAGAAATGCCACATTCCCGAGGACCCCAACCTAGAAACCTTTACTTCCTCCTTATGTGGCTAAAATTAACTGTCAAAAATTTCACGGATTGATTCTATGTTTTTGTTTAATCACCACTAGTTCTTTTCCAATCGGATTCTGTGTCAGCTAACATTGCTCGTCGTTAAATTGGACTGCAACTGCTGAAAAGGCAATGTGCACAACCAATATGGTCATCCTAGGAATTATTCATGCGACTTTCACAGCCATTTAATCATAATCTCATATTTGTTATCTATATGACTGCAGAAAAATACATATAAGCGTGTTGTAATGCAATCTGATTGGTTATTGGTTTGATATGTTAACTGAAATTTCTTGTAGTTCAGTGGTGAGACAAAGCCAAAACAGGTGGTTTTGCTAGGAACCACTTTTTTGAATACTTCATCTTGTTAGATTGTAAGTTAGTTTTCATCATAAAAGGAAATCAGAAGTCTTCATTTTACTCCTGTTATTAATAAAACTTACAAATACTTGTTTGCTGGTGACTAGTAGTAGAATCCACAAAGTGCGTTTCGTCCTATTTGGGGTTCATCAACTGGAGGTACTTGTTCACCAATGACTGATGGTATTCTCATTGAGACTGCAAACCAGTACCCATTGCTTCGAATCCAAAAGCGTTATCCACTGGGGTAGGACAGCCATCTCTTGTATGACGATTAATTAATAATAATAGCTTTATTCTGAACAAAATTCTCAGCATAGTTTTACTGCTGAATACTTTCTCTCCATCGAAAATCTTCAGGTGAAACATCAATCTATAGAATTCCATGTGACGCGCGAGGCTGTTCGATCTTAAGCGTAGACCAATCACTTATAGTATTTTTTCTTTCGTCTCCACGAAATGTGCAGAGCGATAGTTTTAAAGCTTATTGAAAATGTGCGTAAGTACGTATATTCTGTGACTCAGTGACATATAACTGAATGATTGAAACAACAAGAATTAGAGAAAATACGATGTATTGTGTTGTTGGACGGGAATTCAGGTAGTTCAGTGATTCAAGCAGGCTGCCTGATGTTTCATGATATGATGAAAGTATCAAGACAACCGCAAATAAGATGAAGCAGAAGATATGTGAACACTAACACCAGTTAGCTGTATAATTTTTTTAAAAGAACAGCAAATATATAGGCTACAGATAGGAGAAAGGCTTAGGAATAATAATAAGCAATTTGCTTATTAGCAGTTTTATCATATAAAAACTGAAGAACAAAAGAAATAGCATATTTATAACTTAGATAACAAACTGAACATTTTGTCACAAAGTACTTAAACGTACATTAGTCTAGTTTAAGTCTATGCCTTAAAATTGATTTACATGAATCACGAAAATTTGTCAACACTTAGCACTATGATATTATAGAATTGGATGTTGTGCATTAAAGACATAAATAAAGTAGTGAAATTACCTTATTCAATATTTGCTGTCTTTTCAATCTCTTGCCGCCTGAGTGGACCGTAGGACTTCAAGCTTTGGAGTTTTACTGGCGGTGTTGCTAGTTTCGAACCTAACCTTCTGTCTCTCACAAGCTTACCACCGTCTAGTAAACTAGGTGAGGTTTAGGAATGCTTCGGCTGCAAATAAAAAACCCTGGACGACTTGCATAGCTGACGGGCATTCTACCGCCAACACTATCTTATCCAGTATGGGGGTAAATAAATGCGAAGACTTTTAATGATGAATCGATATACAGGATTTTTGAAGTACAGTCATGATGATTGGCAGGCAGGGAATGGAGAGTTGTTTTCTATAGATATAAAAGACGATACATAACTTATTGCTCATTACTGAGTAACTTCGAGATAGGTTTATAGTGAGAATTTTAGATCGATAGGATTCACCAAACCAGGTTTGATGATAAATACTCATCGATGTTATTGGATGGTAGTGCAACTTGACTACTTGGACGATTACGTTACAAACCATTGGCTGAAAATTTTAGTAAAGATGTTGGAGAGCACTGCTGAGGATACGGGGAACGACAGCTACCTGGTTTACATCGGTTCTCTAACTGCTGTCATTTCATGAAGAACCCTATACAGAGACAAACAGTATATCATTTTGTCTTCCATGAATATTTTTAAAAAGATTAACCCCTAACCATAGATTCCTCTTTTTAAATGTCCCTTCAAAATGAGGATGTAGGTGAGATTCTTTAATTTACATATAAAACTGAATGAACTCATGATTTTCAGGTTTGTGTCTCCCACTAATTAAAAAGCAGAACCTGCGCTGTAATGGTAAATATTCTTGTTCAATTATTCAGAAATACAAACCTAAAAACAATGAAAAGCATTTAGATTATGGAATTTAGATCAGTTTAATTCCAATCGTTATATTTTGTCAAGAACTAGCATTACATAAAGAGATCATTGGAAACCAGGGGGCATTAGATACTTGTTTCTCCCTACTTTGGGACTCTTCGGCAGTGCACAACGACGACTCGATTAGGGACCAAACCCTGGACCTTCAGGTTACGAGGCCAAGCAAAGTTATGATTCATGGGTCATTGAGTCCCCGCCCAAGTAGCGGAATGGTGAACAGGCTTCACCTCGTAACCTGTAAGTCACGAGTTCGACCCCTGGTAGGGTCGTGGATGCTCACCGGTAACATTGGCTGGTGGTCGCACTGAAATTACGAATAGGAAGAAGTTAGAATTCATGTGCAACTTGATATTGTCCCAGTGGCTGAACAGTCTACAAGATTTCCTTGGACTGTGAAGGTCTTCGGTTGGTGTGTACTGAGGAAAAGTCCTAAACTAAGAATAGACAGTAGTCCAACACTCCCTGATTTCCAATGGTTCTCTAATTGATATCGATCTGTTATCAAACGTGAAACATTGAACGACAGTTGTAAATATGAAGCATCAGTAGCTTTATGAAAGACATTTTTATTCGGAAATGAAAATCTCTTCATTACAAAGACAAAACTACGAAGAGACTGATGACGTTTCCGAGATTCAAAACCATGTTACACAGTACTTGCAGTCAGGGACGTCAGCACACTGAGTCTCAATGAGTTTTACATGCGTACATTCAAATGAAATGTCTACCAATAGCAGTGGTATTATGAAGGTTATTATCGACTTTATACACAGTCCTCTACGTTCACGGTAAAACAGTAGACCAGTTCCCTCGCTCGTGTGGAGCTTAGTACATTGGCCGTACCATGCGTCCGCTTGTAAAACGCACTCAGGAACACCATCCAGCATAGTTATTAAAGGGAGAACACCAGGATGTCTATAGTTCGGTAAAAGAACATCTGGTCAATTCAGGACATTCAGTTTCATTAGAAAAGTTCTTGAAATTCATATACAAGATCCAATCAAACCTCTCAAAGGGAGTGAAGTCAACGCACCTTGAAATGGCTGAGGCACTAGAAATTCCGAATTTTAAGCCCAACTATTGCTCAAAAAAATACTTCCAATCGTTGCCCCTATTACGGCCATCATAAAAAGACATTTCTCTCAATAATGATTATCATGTAACCTTTCTTATTCAACCTTCCAGTTCACTTCTGTTATTTTTACTTCTTTTTAAGCTTCCTATCTGCATTACTATGTTTTTATCTGAACTTCATGCCTACTTTGTTATCACTACGTCTCTAATCCCCAACTGCATGAAGAATCAGGTTTCTCAGTAATTATCATCCTACTGGCTTTTTTTTTTACCCGATTTTCCTGTTTATTACACTTTGCAATTTTATTGATTTCACCTTTGACCCGATATAACTCTTGAACTTTCTCACCCATTCACCATAAATACACAAATGTACAGCTGTACACAGTTGAGGATTTCGTCGAAAATAAAATTCTCTTCGCTGCAACTTTGCTTTTAAATATTTCCTATGATCGAATGTGTATATTCCACGATTTAAAATGTTCGAAAACCCAAATATGTACAATTCTATTTATAATTATGTATAGTATATCTTTGTATATGTACACAAAACACGACAAATGCATGTAACAAAAGTACTGTGATAAAAAGACAGAATCTCAGAAGTAAAAATCCACAGAATAGTAAGAAACAAAGGTAAAAATAATAATAATAATAAATTGATAAAATAAAACATCACTGTGACAACTGTCTATGCTAAATTATTATTATTATTATTACTATTAGGCGTACAATTTGATATAGAATCATTTGATGAAACAATAGTAGCCGGTCCTATTGCTTTTGACGGACGTATTCTTTTCACACGACCACTTCGAGCCTGTGCAAAATTGAAATAAAAACCAATGATAAACATTCTATACGTTAATAATTTTCAGGTAATATGTATTATAGTTTACACAATAGCCTAAAGTGTTAAAGAACCATTGGAAAAGCAGGGAGTATGAGACAGCTAATTTGTCCTACTTTGAGACTCTTTATCAGTATGCAAACACCCTGTGGTGTGAATCTAGGC